TTAGAAACCCATGAATACTTATGACTGAGTGTTTTTCCCCCTTTTTGTCCATTAAAATTAAATTTTTTTAATCATATAGATGTTACTATTTATGTTATTGTTTTATATCAATTTGATTATGAATCATAAGATATGTTGTGTTAGTTGAGAGTTTGTTGCATGATTTTTTTTTGAAGATAACTTATTATTTTACAATGTACCCCGTTGAAAAACGAGGTAAATAATAAATAAGTTATCAGGACTCATTAGCTAAGTGGACAACGCGATGGCGTTTGAAGCAAATGGTACTGGGTTTGAGTTTCAACATAAACATCAACTCTGAGATGCAGGTACATCCAGTTGACGAGTCCCAAATGAGACGAAATGCGCGTCCTGGATTCTACTGTTAGCCACTATCCATCTTTGCTTACAATAAATAGGTTGATTGTTTACATAGATTTGATCAATAAGAAAACTGGTTACATTTAAGATTACTAATAATTAAAGTAACCATTTTTATTAATTGCTAAAATAACCTTTTTTATTTATGTGAAACATTTAAGTAGTATACATTATTTAGTTGACAAATTGTGCCTTAAATTTAAGAAAAAATTCGAATCACAACCAATACTTAATTGAAATTTACTCCTTTCATATCTCAAGAAGATATTCTTCGACTTTAAACTTAAAGGAAATATTAAATTTACAATTATTTGCAACAGAAGTAAATTATTTTAGTGATCCGAGACGTGATTCCAGTTCGACCAAGTGATTATCGTTATCGAATGATTGTTACTGATTTAAATATATACATAGACTATCTTCGTATATAAACATGGACATGAATCGTGTTAGTTAATAACGGTATTAAATAAGTCAAAATACGAGAATGAATTTTGAATATGTATATTTCATATAATCGTTGATCGGAAAGCAGAGCAAAACGAAGTGACGCGCAATAGAGAAGGCGAGTGAGTCAACTTAATTTGATCAAACATGAATCTTTATTTATAGTCAGATAAAAATAAGTTACAGACATGTGTTTAGTAAGATAGGAAGTGCACACAAAAACAGTCAAGGTTGATAAGTGAATAACACAATGTGACTCAAGGAGAACGAATAGATTGGCCTGTCCAAGATATAGAATAAACTACGTAGGCTAGCATAGCAACCGACACTATATTATATGTTTCGTGTAAGTGAAGTGTTAAAATAAAATCTTGTACATATGACTGACAGTTTATAATTAATACGACTATAAAATTTTTATTTGAGTATTTACCACCTCAGTAATCTCTTTACCGAGTTACCAGATATAATATTTGAAGATATTTCGTTTTGGCTTCAAAACGACAGGATATCAAAAATTTTCAACTCAACCTGATTAAATTTGATTTCAAGTAAATACTCTTTGTAACTGACTCAGATATTTTGAGCCCTTTCCCGTTATTTAGCACATCTTTTCAGTAATATTACAAGTCTAGTTTTGTGTATAGCGGTAATGTGAAACATACCTTCATCTCATTCATAGGAAATAAAGGTTTAGTAACCTAGGTAATGTTCGATTTCTAGCCGCATTTTCTATTTATTCTTAATTGCTTTTACATTTATTCATACATGTAGATGTTGCTTACTACTACAAGTTCCTATCGACTATTAATTTGTTATTAAATGAGTTTAAACTTTCAAAAAAATAGAAGCCTTTCCGTCCATAGATTTACGTTAGATGTTATCATAGCCATAAGTTGGTTGCTTTTTCAAGTTTAATAACAAGAGTATTAAAAACTATGTATACACTAATTTTATTCCATTATCTTATCAAAAAATCTTAGATGAGTATCAGTCATTTAGACCTGGAAACTATATAAAATTTATATTTTATACTTATTAAACCCTTTATTCTCAAAACTGGCCATGTAATTAATTTAACTGGTATGCAAATGTGAGTTCAAATAGAATTAATACTTCTAATGGTTGAAATAAGAGTTTGAACTACGGAAAAATTGTTCCATGAGACATAATCGATCTAATCATTGATACAATGCAATTATGGTCTATATGTTGTCATCAAAAATATATCGACGTTGTTAATCATTTATATTGAATAACATGAGTAAGACTTGTATTTTCTGCAAAATAGAAACAGGAATTAATGTTTTTTTTATTGTTGACGTTTTGTGGAGACTTTTGAACTTTGTGGTTTACATTATGAGTGTATCTCGGTTTAACAAGTATTGAAATTATAGAAACACTAAATAACTGTTTTAGTAATAGTATGGGACTCCTCAGCTGTGCAAACGAAGACCATTTTAGAGATGGAATCGTAATTTTTGGATATTGTGATATAAGTTCATTTTTCAGCCGTCTGAGTCAGAACCCAATTTTTAACACTGGTAACATCAGTCAGTTCGTGACAATGTTCAACTATCTTCCCATTTTAATGATGGATAACTACCTGACACTTGAAATCGTAAGGATTTTTCACTAAAAACTCCAAGAAGCACTAACTAAAATGAGACACTATTGATTGTGATTATTTGTATAACGCATTCATGGAGATTGCTGAAATTTTTAGTTGATATTATGAACTGACACTTTATTGTACTGGAAGGTGGTGATGCAGTATTACGTGCTGATTGACATTAGAAATACAAAATACCTGACACTAATGGTATAAAAGTTAGGTTTTTTCCATGAGACTTGAAGATTTCGTGCTTGAACCCTGGTAAATTAATGTATAATCACTCTTGTAAAGACAATTACTATGATGAGACAGTTATTCAATGCTTCCTAGTTTACAATGGTTATCTAAATTAGATCACTACATAATGTAAACTATATAATGTTTTCTCGAGTTTTTAAAAAATGTATTCAAACTATGAATAATGAACATAAATAGTAAGGAGACAATCAAAAAGACCAAAAGTCAAAATAACTTTAGATTCCATATTTTTTATTCATAAATCTCATTGGAATTCGAGGTGCCATTTCAACTAAGAAAATAAATTAGATTAGTGAGTATGAATAGCTTGTTAAGATTGATGATTCTCCGTCTAAAACCAAAATATTGAATGTACTTTAAATATAAAATCTTTTCATTTAGGAATATATATATATATATATAAACAGGCGCCATTTTAAAATTGCTATATTGACATGAATATAAATAAATAAACTAATGATGTAAATTGTAAAAATTGGCAATTAATGTTATAAATTGATTGAAACACAAATAATCATAAACTGTTAATTGTTTCTCTTTAAAATACAAACTGTGTGACTAATGTCATTCATGTCATATCATCTGTAATCTGTGGTAGAGATATTTTATCCATGAAAATACAGTATTAAACAAACCGATTAACAACTATTTTACATTCTTTTGTCTTATATTTAATATGAAATAGAATATTTGATTTATTCTAATGAATATCTACTCATATTTCTCTTATGTAATGCATTATATGAAGATGAATTAAAGAGTGTTTGTAGAATATTGTTAATTGAAGAAAATAAACTATCCCACATTTTCTATCGAACATGTAGTCACGTTTCTATTATTATTATTATTATTATTATTATTATTGTTATGAAATGCAATAATGTACTTTTATAAAGAGATTTAATCTATCGTTTATAAAAAACAAAACAAAATAAATATACACAGAATGCGTTATTTGTGTAGAGTCTGTTCACTGATTTTTATTTAAATAATAATATATTTTCCAGTTTGTTTTCTATAGAAGATTGTTCATTATGTATGATACGTTGTTATTTTATCGAAAAGCATTACATTAAAGCTTTATCCAATTGATGATTGATGTTACTATAGAAATAGCATATAGGTTCAATGCATTCAGTGAATTAAACTAAAATACATGAGACTGATCAATTGTAGTCTAAAATAATTATGGTATGATACAAGTAAAACAACATCAAGTGAATTTAAACTTCACACCATTGCACAAACAAGTGGCTACCAGGACTCAGTAGCTAAGTAGATAACGCGAAGGCGTTTGAAGCGAACGATACTGGGTTCGAGTCCTACAGTGAACATCAACTCTGGGATGCAGGTACATCCAGCTGACGAGTCCCAAATGAGACGAAATGCGCGTCCTGGATTCCACTGCTAGTCACTATCCATCTATGCTTAATGAACTAAAATAGTTTCGTAAGAATGATTACAGTCAATAGTAACAGTCATTATTTGCAATCAAGTTCCAATGTACTATTTATTTACATCTCAAACGATAATCTCTATGTTAGACTTGATTTAGTTATGGGATAACTGAACAACCAACTTGCCTTAACTAAAAGTTATACAATAGTTCATATCTGTATAAAGAATTCTCAAATAAAGTATAAATAAGTGAAATAATTTTTATTTTCTAAAGTTGATCCACACATTCTTATGATTTTATCCATGGCGTAAAAGAGTAAACAAATATACATTTAGACTATAAAAAATATGTAGGGACTGGACCTATATTGAGCCCACATCGCTTATTCTAGCCTTTGGAAAGACGAATCTTTTCGTTTTTCTCAAATCGTATTTCGACCTTGCCATTTATTCGCTTATCAACCTTGAATGTTTTTATGTAAGCGTTTGTGTGTGAATTTCCTATCTTACTCATCACATGCCTGTAACTTATTTTTGTCTGACTAGAAGTGCCGATTCATGCTCACTATTTTGTTTTGTTTCGCTTTCCGATCAACAATTGTATGAAATATAAGTATTTGAAATCCATTCCCATATTTGATTCCGTCATTCACCAAAGTGATTTAAGTCGATATTTATATACGAGAATTAGAGACATGTATAAGTTAATAACGATAAGCAGCAAACGATCTACCTGGAGTCAGATCTAAGGCTACTAAAAATATAAATACTTTGCATGAAGTAAAAAGTTACTGTTGTCAAAGCAGTAGTGAGCAAATTATCAACAGTTAAACACAGCATTCTGACAAGAATAATTTCAAATCAGCATTTATCATCACGTTTTATAATTCAGATAACTTACATTGCGTCCACATTGATCATTAAGAGATCTTTCGTAAAAATACGTTTTCTGTCTTTCATCTCCATGGTAGTTTATATTTTCATCTGTCTGGCAGAGACCCATACTCGTTTGTGTCGGTTCTCTACAAGATCGTTTGTAGCCGTATGTTTGTCTTCTACGAAATGCTTTTAGTGATAATAAGTATCGACTTGGTAATGGATATCTAAATTTGTAAAGTATGAAGCCAGTAAAATGAAATTATGTTAACGACAAAACGACGTGCTTAAATGAAAAATACGTATATACCAGATTTCTCTGATGATACCATATAGAAAAACAGGGTTTTACATAACACTGGTCATACTTCAACTCTTGCAACTTACTTTACCAGATTTTCAGATTGATATATAAAAGAGACTCTATGCTTAGTTACTGTCGACCTGAAGGTCGCTTACATGTCTCTGAAAGTCAAAAGAGGATTTTTCAGCTCAAACCTCCGAATTCTTGTATGCAGATTGTATTTAAAAATTAGCATTCTTGCTATAGTCTCCTACAAACATTTAATAAACACAAATTTCCTTTCTCTGCCTCAATTATTGTATATCGTTTTCATGACTTTAGTGTGGTGAGATATATTGACAGTATACAACATCAACAATATAAATGTTGTAAACATAGTTCGCAGCAGTATTTAACTTGATCATCACAGAAATAGAAACCATTTATCAAACGCCTCATTTTAGTTCATCCTATAATCATAACGTACTGATTTCACATCTTGTAATTTGTCTACGATAAGACCTTAACTGATTGTACAAAAATAAAATGTACAATTCTGAATTTATTACATTTGTCAAGTATTTCCCCTGATGTCATACACATAACGCTATACTATTTGACTTAGTTTATTTTAACGCTTGTTACATAATAACATATTTCTTTTCCTATTATGTTCACAGAAAAAAACAATCTCTTTTGACAGAGGCTATTACCCTTACATATGACCTAAAAAGATTGGACTATTTATTTCTGCTATGTGTAAATAAAGAAAAATAGAATCAGTGTTTCATTTATAATTTCATAGTTTTCACTATAGTAGGCCTCATTTATATGTTCTTATTGATATTTTAAAGTTAAATAAATGTACTATTACCTAACACTAGGTATTTACATATTGCTTTGTTGGCAAACCATTAGAAGGTACGAATTTTATCTATACTTTATATTAATAAGACGTCTCACAGATGGGACCACTAAAAAAGTAATCACTTTGATTTTAGTCATCTTGTAAATGTCCGTAATTCAATACGGTTCTTACGTAATGTATTACATAAATTATATCTCTGATGATAGATTCCAATATATATGAAAATATGTAAAATAATATTGACACACTAATCTAACAATCTCTTTTAATACACATGTATCACTATGAAAAAAGAACTTTGGAAAGGTACATGAAATTGAATTTCATTTCGATTTTTCTTAGCTTCCAAGCTTTAGCTTTTGGTTGGAATAATAAAAAGTACTTGAAATACAAATATTTGGTATTTAATTCATCACTTATAATTTTATTACTGTCTGTAATTTTAATTACAAGATGATTTAAAAGATTTAATAAAGAATAAAAAAGGTGCTAACTTTCAAAATTTCATGAATTTACTGAAAATATAGATGCACAATAGACTAGGTGTAAATTAATTTATGTATCCTTAATATCCCCTTTTTTAGACCTTCATAATACTAGTGATGTGAAATCTTTAAAAAATGAAGGGTATACTATCATGATATAAGATGGTAGTTGGAGGTAGTCCTAGGGCAGGTCAAGCGCGGCACGGACAACTCAGTGGTAACGTCTGTGACTATGAAGCTGGGTGACACGGGATCGAATCCATCAGGGAGCACCTTGCTGACGAGGGCCAAGTAGCACGAAACCTAGGTCGAGGGTCTCTTGTTCACTACTTTCAACCACTATCTTATCGCAACATAGTGAGCGCAATTTTGAACCACCTAGACTAGTAACCACAGTGCAACTTGGTCGATAGGAATCGATCTGCATTAAGAAGGACCTGACATACATGACATTGATCACCACCCAGTGATCAATCAATTGTAAATACTATTATGATACTTTGTATAAATTAAAGTTGTTCGTCTACCATAAAACCTTATTTATCCTCAAAGCCTAATGCATGTATTTATCCTACGTAATCAGTGATACAATATAAGTTACCGTGACATTAGGGATAAATGAGAAAAATATAATTTAGTGATTAAAAATAACTATATTAAGAGTGCTACTTTGTTTCATTGTTCAGTGAACTAAAATTCGTATTTTTCTTCTATAACATGGAATTAACTTACGCCAGGTTCTTTACTAGTAGTTTCTTGAAACGTCATGTCACCTGTATTCGCATATATATATATATATATATATATATATATATATATATATATATAAAGCCTAAAGTAGATAACTCACTTCAATATACTTTCTAGGAGTCAATCTTAATCTAAAAATTGAGAACTATAGTATGTTTTACATGCCATTACCATAATGGTTCAATGCCAAGCATAAGAAAATGAGTCACTCAAACAATGTAAATATATAGTACAGTGATTTCAAAAATGAACTATAATCAATAAAATGCATTATCTAATTTGTTTTAAACTTCCAAGAAGTATATTACAAAGTCATGTTATTTCCATACTCAAAGTTCAGCTATTGAATACAAAAGTGTTGGTTTCAGAAAACATGGAAAATCGGGAAACAATTGTTAAGTCTCTGATGTATTATTTTAAAATTTCAAACGTTTCTACGCATATATTCAATGTTGAGGGAAAAACAAAATTTATATTTAAACGAAGTCCTGTATTTCTCATATATCTTTACACTAAACCACTTGGTTTCAAATGTAAGTCCATAAGAGCAGTGAACCATGAAATCAAATCATTAAAAAACACAAAGTTCAGTTGTGGGATCTCTTTTTTAAAAATTTATTGTCAAGCTGTACAATCGTGTAAATATATATATGAAAACGTTTTAGGTATTGGGATCATGGAGATACACGAACAAAGAATAAATGTTATGATGTAATTGAAAGGTTATCGCATTAGATTACGCAATATATATGGTAACATAAACAGATAGTGTTTGTGCGAATAAAAGGTACCTGCCAGTCCACCTGCTCTCGTGGATCAAGGCACTTAGGCCGTAACCAGAGCTTGATTTCAACCGCGATACGAGAACATATTCCAGTGTGGTTCTACAAGGGTGATAGGAAAGCAGTTAGAAATTCCATTCCTGAACATTTAATCGATTTCAATTAATTAACTGATCCACAGATTCCCTTTATGGTTGTTTACAAGATTCGTTCAAATCTACCTATCCAACTTCTGAAAACAGCTGGACCTCTTGACATCAATGAGATGAAAATAAAACTGTGCGTACAAAAGGAACGAATATTATTCTTGTCTATATAGTGATTTTATTCATAATTGTCTGTGATATTACTTCATTTCATTTTACTCCTCTATTGCTAAGAATTATCATAACAAAAAATGTTTTTATTGTCTTAATCCACTCACATGATCCGCTGTTAATTTATTCGTTTTAAAAGGCTTTTTATTTGCACGCATACAACCTTTTATTGTTGGTATTTACATTACTTAATCTGGTGTTATAATCTTTCAATTACACCATCATATTTATTCTTTATTCATATGTTCTCACAGAACTATCACTTAATAGATTTTCATGTATATATACATATACGACTTTACATCTTGACAATAAATTCTTGAAAAAGAAATTCCTGTTCTGAACTTCATGTGTTTGACATTTAAATGTGAATTATACGTTCATTTTACAGTTTGCCGCAGGATCATGGTTATAAAAAATGTTGTCACTGTGAGTAAACTGGTGAATAATTCAGTGTAACAAACCAATACATGGGATACTACGGACTAGTTACCATATTCTACATTAAAACATATACCATTGGTTGTGATGAATTACCACTATCAGAACGTCCTATACAACTAATAATAATCCAACTACTTCTGTTGTCGATGGCTCTTATAGAGCTACTGCCGGTCAAAAGCCCGGGTAAAGAAGGAGGGTTGGGCAACCCTATACCATCGAAATAAATCTTGCTAAAAAAACGCCAGCCAGATTAAGCAAATAAAACCATTTTAATTCTGCCCTGGGAGTTAAAGGACGAATTATGACACCTCATGATGAAAGCCGAGATTCTTCAAAAATCACGAGGTTGATGCTCCTTCTAATAACCAGAGCAAACATGTTATTGGTACATAGAACGACCGGACAATGTGGGTGACCGGGAAAACCAGTCAACTTGGTAAGAAATGAGAATATACAACTTGGTAGTACTGTGGGCCTATTATGTGACTCCAGTTTGATCGGACAAATGATCTTCCTATATAATTATTGACTCAATCAGTATTATTGTATAACGGAATTAAATAAGTCAAATGAGAGAATGGATGTTTGAATACGTATATTTTGTATACTCGTTGATCTGAACAGACAATCAGAGAACCTCAGCGAATGAAGTCATGAAAGAAAGGAAAGCGAAACAAAACGACGTGCAGTGCAAACGGCGTATGAGGCAACTCAATTTAACCAAACCGAACAAAAATAAGCTACAGACATGTAGTGAATAGGATAAGAAGTATACACACATACGTTCACAAAAAACAGTGGAGGTTGATATGTGAATAATTAACCAGGTCATAACGTGAATCAAGAAGAATGGATAAATTTTCCTGTACGGAAGCCAGAATATGCATCACGAAACAATCGCTAATTTGGAATCCTGAAGGGAAGTAGAAAAATAGAAGGCCGAAGAACACACTGCGTCGGGAGTTGTAAGCAGATATAAAAAGGATGAATAGCAACTGAAAAGTATTGCTCAGGACAGGGTTGGATAGCGAGTGCTGTTGGTAGGCCTGTGCTTCTCCATGAGGGGTAAAAGGCGTAAGTAAGTAATTAAGTGCTTCTGCTTTCATATTCAGTACTCCATTTTCAAGGCCACAAGCCTTATACATTCATAAACACTCAACCAAAATACTAGAAAGCTATTTCTATTTTACCAAATAACTTTCCTTTTAGATATTAAATGTATATGATTTAACAAAATGATCTGACTTTAATTTATCATCATTTAAATATCTTAATAAATACATAATTGGGATATTTGT